ATTATTTAATTCAAATCAAATGTCTTCCCCATCTTCAGTGGAATCTATACCCAGGATTCTGACATTAATATTCTCAGAAGCGTGTGAACCTCGGTGCAGCCCAGCCCTTCTGAGGACAGTGCTGCAAAGTCAGGATGAAGCCTTGGATTCTGAACCCACATCCCAAGTCTTTCTTGGCTCCTGACAGAACTTCCCTGTGGCTGAGGGCTCAGTGCCTGTTTCATCATCCACCTTCCCTCTAGTCGTGCTTCCCTACTTCTGGCAGCTAAGACCCTCGCCTGTATGGATGCGTCTAGACCAGAATCCTTCAGGTGCTGCAGGTCTGTGATGTGAGGACAGCACAGCTGGGTGGGGAGTGGTTGTGGTGCAAGAAGCAGTTTGAAATGATGAGTCTGAAAGGGGTGGGAATGGCCCTCAGTCTTCACACCTGGCAGTTCACACTCTGAAGTTTAACACCTGGGATATTGCAGTTCATCCAAGAGATCCAGTTGGACCTTCTCCCAGCTCTCATGCCACCTGGAGACGTCAAACTCAGGTAGGGTGAGGCTTGGTCACATTTCTCATATCACATAAACTTTCTATTCCACTATGTGTAGATTTCAATGTGCAACACTGAGGTGAGATTTATAGCACATTGTGTAGTTTGTAACTTGCATAAAAATAAAATTACAAAGTATATAAAAAGTGTTCATTACAGCCCAATCACAAGTAAAGAAATTTTCTTGAATGTTATTATTGATAGAAAGACATCGATATGTTAGTGACTTTTGAAAACAATCCTCATGAACTCTGCTTACAGATTACTGGTCAACACAGTAACTGTCAAAATCATCATGAACTCATCACTGAACAGGGTCTTGTCCAATACTCTCTTTTATTTTTCACATTTTTTTCTCTGTGATTTATCATAACATTTTGTGTATATTTCCCTGTGCTATACAGTGTAATCTTGTTTATCTATTCTACAATTTTGAAACCCCCGTCTACCCCTTCCCACCCTCTACCCCGCCCCCCAACCCGGTCACCACATGTCTGTATTCTCTGTCCATGAGTCTATTTCTGTGTCCAATACTCTCTTGATGCTGACTCTGCATCACTTATATCCCAGATGAGGAGCACAGGTGAAAATGCTGGACAAACTCTCACCTAACATGTGTCCCTACACAGACCACAATGCGGTACCCGTCTGGGGGCTGCGTACATCACCAACGTGGGAGGAACTCTGGCACCGACATCACAGAAACCGTATGCACACTCAAAAAAAATTCAGGTTCTAAGTGTTTACCCTGAAAACTCACACAATAAACATGACATTTCCAAATGCTACCAACACCAGCAAACCACAGACACTCACAGCTGCTCAGGGGCCTGGCCCTCTCTGAGGCCAGCAAGGCCCTGACTTGCTATGTAGTGAGATGACATGCAAATAGGGCCTTCCTCTGAGGATAAAGCCACCCAGCCCTGGCCCTGCAGCTCTGGGAGAGGAGCCCCAGCCCGGGATTCCCAGCTGCTCCCATTCTCTGATCAGGACTGAGCACAGACGACTCGCCATGGAGCTGGGGCTGAGCTGGGTGGTCCTGGCTGCTCTTCTACAAGGTAATTCATGGAGAAGGAGAGCTACTGAGGATGTGGGTGGTCGTGAGTGAGGGAATCGG